AGTTCATTTCTGGGTAGCGCGACCTGTGCGTTCAGCCACCAAAATAGGCTCAACTATGCGTTTCAAGTCTAAAACGCAGAGTTCGGGCCCTGAACGCTATTTTTTAGCGTTTGACTCGTTCAAAATACGAATTGAACGGTTTCAAAATCGTTTTCCCCACGATTTGGGGAGCTGTTTAAGGGGGCGCTTACACCCCATTCAGTCCCACTTAGGAGCGAATTAAGGGGACGGTTACACCCCTTAATCCCTTATAAATAGGGGTAAACTCAACTGAGTTCGGGCTGGCTTTTTGGATCTGGGACTTGGCAGCAAATGGGGAATTTCTTGGAGCAGAAAGGGCCTGAAAGGATCGGCATCATTCTTCAACGGAGATCATCTTCAACTTCAGCAACGAGGAGCTCGTCCTTAGCTTACAAACCGATTTTGGTTAAATCAACTCTTTCATAGAGTTTCAAACACGTTCAGAGTTATCAACTCATCAAGAGTTTCAAACTTGCCACGCAAGTTCTCCACAGCGTCAAATCGTGAGGAGGAGATACCGTTCCATCAAATCAAGACGTTCGGATCGTCAACGGAGAGCAAACTCGACGTGAGTATTCAAGGGAGGCACTCCATCGCGACCGTAAAGAACCTAGAATTAAACAAAGGGAAGAATCCAGATCATTCTCCTCTCTTTTGTAATAGGAATCCAATTGTAATTGAGATCGAGAGAATCTAAATAAAATCAAATTTCTTTTATTCTTTTTACTACGAATTTTCCACCAAACACCGGTTTGGTGAGTTGATACTAACATTTGGAGTTTGTTCGCATTCTCGTTTGGGTTCTCGACTTGTTGTGGATTGAGTCCGTTGTCGTGGATTTGTTTCACTTCGTACTAAACACAACAAGTGAGACGTTTGGTTGGTATTGGTGTCGGCTCAGTTTTGGGAAAACTTCGCCGAGGTAGAGAATTATTGGATAGCATGTTCCTAATATGTTTTCTAATTTATTTTGGTAACAGGTTATTGGGATTCCTAGCTAATCTGTTTTAGTAACATGATTCCAAATCTGTTTTGGTAACAGGTCATTAGGATTCCTAATCTGTTTTGTTTTTATTTTAGAATTCCTAGTATGTTTATGATTTTAGGATTTCTATATATATGGAACAATTGAAAGAGAGAATTGAGAAGAAAATTGGGGATATTTGGAGCACAGAAAAAAGGTATTTTCTGAGCTATTGGTTAGGGTTTTGTTTGGAGAGAATTAGAGATTTGTTGGTGAGATTAATTGGTGAGTTTGAGTGATTTGTAATCTCAGTTTGTACTCTTCTTCTCTATTAGTGAAAAACTCTATTCCCTTCTTACCCCGTGGACGTAGGCAACTTGCCGAACCACGTTAAAATTGGTTGTTTGTGTTTGTGGCATTGATTTGGTTCGTTTGGCCTTCTCTCGATGTTCGTTTGATTTGATTTCTCGTAGCACGTTGGTTTGATTGTTTGGCTTCCGTAGCGCTCAACATTACTGCAGGCTCATTTTCAAAATCTGAAACATTTGCTCATTACTCCTGCATTTATTGGTAACACTATCTATTTTCAAACTGTGAATAAGTAAAATGAGACGTGGGACTTTGAAATTTTAGGAGAAGACAAGTTACATGTGATAAGTCCTCTTTGTTATGTTTAAAAGGGTTAGTTGCACACTGACCGTGCTGTTCTAAGTTTACTATTCATATAGTATCAATGTTGCTCTAGGCTAAATTTTTGTAATTCTTTTACCCTGAGATAGACTCACTAATCTCACCCAGTGAGAATATTTGTCAAAATTTTAGCAAGGGTAAAGCACTAGTAGAAAAATAAACAAACTAGACGGAACAAACTAGACGGAATTTTTTTCCGTCTAGTTTGAGGCAAACTAGACGGAAAAAATTCCGTCTAGTTTGTTCCGTCCAGTTTGAATCAATCTAGACGGAAATTTCCGTCTAGATTAACAAACTAGACGATTTTTATTTATTTTTTTAAAATATAATCAACCTAGACGGAATTTCCGTCTAGGTTACATCAACCTAGACGGAAAATTCCGTCTAGGTTGTCTAAAGAAATTTACGGATCCTCCCCCTCTTTTGCCCGCCTATTTTTTCATTCCCCGCCTATTTTTAATCCCCTCTCCGTCTAAAAATCCCCAACCAGGACAAACCCCCTCTCTCTCTCTCTGAAACCCCCAAATCTCTCTCTCTGACTCCCCAAAACCCTAGCGGTGGCGAAACTCTTCGCTCTCGTCTCCCTCCTCTCTCTCCTCCCTCTATTATGTTCTTCGTTCAGCGCCGACAGCCCCACCGATCGCCGCATCCTCGTCCTCGTCGACGACCTGGCGCTCTGATCATCCCACTCGATCTTCATCAACTCCCTCGGATCCCGAGGCTTCGATCTCGATTTCAAGCTCGCCGACGATCCTAACCTCTCTCTGCAGCGGTACGGCCAGTACTTATACGATGTTTGTGAATAACTTTGGGGTCATAGTATCAAATGAATGTTTTTATTCTTTGTTTAGTTTTGATATGGTAAAAAGATCTTCTTCAGATACTATGATATGCACTTCATCTTCTATCTATTTACACTAGTTTGCGGTCCGTGCAAAGCACGGTATTTTTTTTTTTTTGCTACAGTAATCCCGCTTTTTAATATGTCATGATTTGAATTTTTAAGAGTGCTACAGTATCCCGCTCTGATACAGTACCTGTTAAATGCTACAGTATACCCGTGTGCTACAGTAATGTTTTTTATTAATTATTATCTACATTAATAATGCTACAGTAAATCTCTGATCCTCCTGTTCGTATAAAAGAATAGATGTCCCATCATCTTCATGATTATTAATATCAATACTAATAAATTTATAGTCATTGATATTTTTTTCCCATAGACTTAAGTTCGTAATTGATATTTGAACTACTTTAAATGTTATTTGATCTTTAGTGAAACCTTGTACTGTTTATAATCTTCTGGCATAGCATTTTTGAGTTTTTCCCATAAACCTCTTGGATTTCTTGGATCATAATAAACAAGTACAGTGGCAAATAGCTGCCTTAGACTATAAGGTATATGATACAATGATGCTTCTTACAAACAAAGCTCTAAGCTATTATCAGATTCTAATAATCCATGCAAGAAAGCTGCTTCATGAAATGAGCAAGCCTTTTCATTATTCACAACTTTAAGATTGACAAAACATGTAGTGGTTCTAATATGATTTAATAATATACATATATATTATGTTTCCCCTTCAACCGGGTTAGCAGTGACAATGTGACCAATAACATCTTTTCGTTGTCTAGAAGTCTATGACTTTAATTGTTGATTCCAAACAAATTCTTAAGGGAATTATCTATATAACAAGTTTCTTGGGATTTTTAGATTGTTCATATAGAAATATTGATTTAGCATTGTTACTTTCAAGAAATCATAATCTGTTATATTTTTTAAATTACCAAACTTTCAAAATGTCAAAAGTTTTTTTCCTTACGAATGTAACTATAGACTTTGTACAGCAATATATATGTCATTTAAAAGGAATTTATAAATTCTCCACATAGCCTCCTGTGGGAATATCCATATACGTGCTTAGTATTGCTCTATTTCATCAATATCTTTAGAAGTTTAATGCAAACTAACTCCATCATGACCTTTGTATATGTATTTGTGCAAATACTTGACTGATTTAATAGTTGAACGAATTTTGACATTGATATGACAATCAAATTTCACAAGCGAATAGGGATTACATGGTATCCAGAATGATACCTCTTACTTTAACTTCTTTGCCATCATTTTGCTATTCATATATTAAGAGGTAATTTAAATCTTGAAAGCGTAGTTCTAGCATATGGTATAGTAGATGTAGAAACTCTAAATACTGCAGTACGTAAAGCTATGAGCCCTTTTAATCTAACAGCAGTGAGAATTGCAGTATATAAATATATGTTCCCAGTTCCACCAGGACCATCTATGAAAAAAGTTACAGGCACTAGTAGAAAAATAAACAAACTAGACGGAACAAACTAGACGGAATTTTTTTCCGTCTAGTTTGAGGCAAACTAGACGGAAAAAATTCCGTCTAGTTTGTTCCGTCTAGTTTGTTTATTTTTCTACTAGTGCCTGTAACTTTTTTCATAGATGGTCCTGGTGGAACTGGGAACATATATTTATATACTGCAATTCTCACTGCTGTTAGATTAAAAGGGCTCATAGCTTTACGTACTGCAGTATTTAGAGTTTCTACATCTACTATACCATATGCTAGAACTACGCTTTCAAGATTTAAATTACCTCTTAATATAGATAACAATACTACTTGCAACGTTAGTAAGCAAAGTGGACATGGTAAGTTATTATGTGCTGCAAAAGTTATTATACAGGATAAAGCTACAATGTCAAAAAGTTATTATACAGGATGAAGCTACAATGTCAAAGGTTATTATACAGGATGAAATGCTACAAGATATAAATAGCTGTAAATTACCTTTAGTGGAAAGGTAACAATTTTCGGTGGGATTTCCACTAATTAAGTACTGCATGTCATCCCTAAAACAACGAGATAGGAGTTGATAGATGCAAGTAAAAGTCAATAATATGGCCCCTACTTCAAAAGATTAGATTAACTGAAAATATGAGAGATAAATCTGATCCATCCTTTACTGCTTATTTATTATGCATTGGTGATGGTATAGAGAAGCTTGTGCTACATGACATGATAAAACTTCCGTCTCCTATGATTGTGCCTTACAATTTGACTCCAGATCCGCCCCGACTCCAAGCCATCGCCTGAACCCAACCTCGGTCATCCTCCAACTCTAACGACCAGTGCCTCCTACCTTCTAGATCGTCGCCTCCACAAATCCGCCCCTTCGGATCTGCTCCTCAGTCGTCGCCTTCAACTTCAGATCCGCAGTTGACTGCTCCCTCTTCAAACCCATTGCACTACATTCACAACGGCACCGCCGCCTCATCCACAGGCCCCTTGGCCTCATCTCGATTTCAAGCTCGCCGACGATCCTAACCTCTCTCTGCAGCGGTACGGCCAGTACTTATACGATGGACTCGCCCTCTTCGCCCCTTCAATCGCTCGTAATCTCTCTTTTACTCTCTATAGGAATGAAATTCGAGTGCGAAAATGGTCGTTTTGAGTTGATTTTGACTTTTTTTAGGGTTTGGAGGGACGATGGATCAGGCGGAGGTTCTCGATTTCGTGGATGCGGGTCGGGATCTGATCCTGGCGGCGGATCCGTCAGCGTCGGAGTTGGTTAAGGGGATCGTGGCCGAGTGCGGGGCTGATTTTGATGAGGTTGGTGGAGATTTTGGGGGTTCTGATTTGTTTTTTTTTTTGCCCCTTTAAAGTTTTGATTTTTTATTCTTTTTTGGCGATGTCGCAGGATAAATATAAAGTTTTTCTTTCTCTTCAATTGTGTTCAAATATGAATAATTTGTTGGTAGTGTGAGTTAGTTTTAGGGAGCTCAGTGTTTAAACTTTGAAACTGAAAGATTGAATGGTGGGTGGTTGGTTGAGCATTGCAACTATGGATGAATGACTAGTTTCCCAGTAGGTTAATAGGCTTATGTCAAGGATTGCATGATTATGGATTTTGTTTGATTCACTGGCTTGCTTTCGTGTCAAGCAAATGTTGTGCCCTTTTGTATGATGGAGTACTTAATAGTAAACCTTAGATGTAAACAGATATGCCCTTTTGTATGTTTGATATATGTATGCAAATCTCTATATGCACCTACTTGCAATACCTGCGATATATTCTCAAATAATTGTTTTCGATTTGCAGGATTCACTGGGTGGAGACCGCCAAAGAGCAGGCTAGCTCCCTAAGCAATATAAAGCACAATCTTGTAGGCTTGAATGTAGGTAATGTCCTACCCTGACTAACTTTCATTTATGTCATCTTCTTGTTGATAGTTTGCATGCAATAGAAGAGAACTCTTGAATTTTGATTCTGCAGGAGAAGAGTTTCAGATAAGAAACTGGTTGGGCATTTATTGTAGCTGTAAGTGTTTTATTCGTATATTTAGTGTATCGTTTTTTTTAGTGTATTTCATGGCATGAACTAATTGATGTTGAATTTTGTATAATGTAGGATCAAGGAGGAAGAAACATGATGCTTCAACAACTTGAAGGAGTAAATGCAATTGGATTCTATAAATTATGCAAAGTTCATCAAGTTATGTAAACAATTGTATTCTTTATAATCTATGTAATAAATTTATGTATATTTCTAGTATTTTGGTGAATGTATTATTTGAATATAATTATATTTGATATTGAAATATAATTAGATCAATTGTGTTGGATATGAATATGATTTGTTGTTGTGTAATATTATGTACATGTAATACTATATAGCGTGCAACGTAGTTTTTGCAAAAAAAAAAAAAAAAAAAAAAAAAGGAGCAAAAAAAACCCAAAAGGATT